TATTTTTTTTGCAGAACCGGGGATTGAACTCAGGCCCTTGTGCTTGCCAGGCAAGCACTTATTCTACTGAGCCATCTCCCTGGCCCCTATTGTTGTAGGCAGCTGAATTAGGTAGAAATATTATAAGCAGTCAGACAGGGCCAGGCCCTCAAGGAGACAAGATGGAAGACAAGGTGACTTTACAACTTGGAAGAGACAGACACTCCTATATGGACCGTACTTCAAGACCAAGACAAATGAGGAAACAACATACTTCCCTAGGGATGGGCATCAGGGATTGATATTCTAAATAGGTATCAATCACCTTGAAAGCCCAAATGAGTCACTAGCCCCACCCCCAACAGGAAGAAACCCTGTCCCATATCCATGCCCACTTGCTATGTGACTAGCTTCCCCATTTGGTACTGGATTTAATCAATTTTGCCTGAGCAATGGTGCTTGTAATCTCATTGGTTGACCACAGTTTTGTACCACCTTGTTCCCACCTACAGGAGTTCCCTTGTTCTCCACCACCTTAGGCCCGCGTCACTGCATGGTGTTCCTCCATAAAAGTCCCAAAAGAGACAACTTCCTGGGGACCACCTGCTCCGGGTCCCCCTCCTGTCCTTCTCAGACAGGAGCTTTCTTTCCCTCAATAAGTCTATTCTCATAACCTCCATTTTCTTCCTAAATTCGTTCTTTGGTTTTAGAGAACATGAGCTCCTCCCAGGTACCTTTTAGGCTGGGAGATCAGTGCTTCTTCCTGTGTCATTTGGAGGTTCCCTGTATCACTATAGGATTATGCATTTTAAGTGGATGAATTATATGCATATGAACTGCATCTTAAAAACAGCCAAACAGAGAAAAACTTCATTTACCATTTTAAACTTTCACAGCTAAACAGAGTAAACACAAAAATACACTAAAGCTTCTATCACCAGGCAACCCTGTTTGATAGACTGTGCTTCTGAAATAATACTGTTATTCAGCAGAGCTTCAAATTAAACCTTAAGAAGTTTCACTTAGTACCTGTTAAATACAAATTACAAGGGGCCGGGGAGATGGCTCAGTACAGTAAGTGCTTGCCTGGCAAGCACAAGGGCCTGAGTTCAATCATCAGTCTCCCCCTCCCCCCAAAAAAAGAACCAAAATTACAAGAGGGCATTTTTTGGAGCTATGTCTTTGAATTAGGCTCCAAAAAACCAGGTAAAAAGTTAGAATGGATTCATTAGTATGCACGAGGCCCTAGGGTTCAATCCCCAGCACCAAAAGAAAATAATAATGGAGTCGCTCACACAGCAGCTTTGGCTGAGCCACTCTCAGGTGTGCACGGGGTTTCCGATCTGAGAGAGCAAGGGTGTCCAGAGTGAGCCCCGCGGTTGCTCTTGCCTGGCTTCTCTGGACCCCTTGCTATGTATGAGTCACCACGGCGGGCACACCCTTGCTTTAATGCTGTTCCTTTACTGTATCCTTTCCCTGCAGTCAGCTTTAGATGATAAGCACTGGCATTTTGGGTTCTGTTGGTCTTTTCTTTATCCTCTATCTGTCCCTGTCAGGGCATATCGATTTGAACAAAAAAA